AGAGAGGGAGAGAGATGTCAGGGAGGAGGGAGAGGAGATGTCAGAGAGAGAGAGAGAGAGAGGGAGTTTGCAATTGGAAAGGGAGAGATTAGGGCTGTTTAGAGGAGAGATGGACAGAACAGAATTTTTTTAGGTAGATGAATGGGGAATACAAAAATAATTAACGGTTTTCGAACGTGTAAGTGGGAATGGGAACTTAGATTGATTGATGAGTGCCACTGCCACAACCTCGACCCTATTCCTGGGAGAGAATAGTGTGATTTCATTACTTTATAACTCCCGTATTTGATGTGTGGAATTGAAATTATAGTTAAAAGGGCTCGATCCAATGGCTTGAAATTTGGAGTCTATCCTTTAAAAAATAAAGTCATATGTAAAAATACAAAAATAATAATATGTAAAAAATAAATTTATCAAAATATTTTTGAAGTTTTTTAGTAGTATTTTGATCAATTTATATTTTATAAATTATTTTTAAAATATTTTTATTAAGTGCCTCTTTATGAGAAGATCGAACATCTAAAATTTCAAGTTACTTAGATTTGTAGAAAAAAATGAAAATTTAAACACAAAATGACGTTGTAACTATCAGATCGGCCCAAATTCAATCTGGATAATTGGCTAACACTGTAGTTGTTAAACTATGTGGTTGACACCTGCTTATATATATATGACAAAAGTTTATCTAAGGATGCAACTTTATAATGTAGAACTACGGATACACCTCAAAAATCCATCGGTAAAAGTAGTTTTAATGCTGAAAAACCCTTTGATTGATGACATCGAGATGTATGGCCATGAAAAATAAAAAGATTTTAAGTCTCAAAAATAGTGCATTTTACAACATATTATCTACACTATCCATTTTCAAGATTTTCATATGTTTATAGATCTACTTGATTTTAACCATTTTATAATTTAAAATTTTATAATTGGAAAATTATCGCTAATATACTCGTATTTTCAAGAAATTGAAAAAAAAACCTTAACTTTCCAAAACCTCACCCACACCTTTTTGCCCCATTTTTGTAAAATTTCGAATGAAAATGCCCTTTACAGTAGTCGTTGTACGGTAAAAACAATTGCGATCATTTTATGAAAGAACATTACGGTACTAAGAGTACCGTAATGGTTTTTTAGACCATTACGGTACTAAAAGTACCGTAATGGTTTTTTTCTTAATTATCGATTCATCCTAATCTTGGGCTTTTACAGTGCTCTTAGTATCATAATGTTATTTAAAACCATTGGTACCGTAATGGTTTTTTTTTTTCCTTATCTTGGAGTATTACGGTACTCTTAGTACCGTAATGTTATTTAAAACAATTACAGTACTAAAAGTACCATAGTGTTTTTTTTTTTTTCCCTTAATAATATCGATTGACCAATCTTGGAGCATTACGGTACTCGTAGAACCGTAATATTATTTAAAACCATTACGGTACTAAAAGTACCATAATAGTTTTTTTTTTTTCTTAATTATATTGATTGACTAATCATGGAGCATTACGGTACTCTTAGTACCGTAATGTTATTTAAAACCATTACGGTACTAAAAGTATCATAATGGTTTTTTTTTTTTTTATTCTTATTTTAGAGCATTACAGTACACTCTTAGTACCGTAATGTTATTTAAAACCATTATGGTACTAAAAGTACCGTAATATTGTTCTTGTTTTTTCTTAATTATATCGATTGACCAATCTAGATTACGGTATTAAAAATACCATAATTATTTTTACGGTACAACGACTACCGTAAAGGGCATTTTTAGCTGAAATTTTGTGAAAATGGAGGTGTGGGGAGGTTTTGGGAAGTTGGGTTTTTTTTTTCCAATTTCTTGAAAATATGGATATATTGGCGATAATTTCCCTTTATAATTAGATATAAGAATAGAATTTGAGATAATCCTAAAAACATTTTACATCAAAATTATATAGCATGATAAAATTTGAAGGTGCACCTTACCTCTATAGCTACGAATGCATCTGTATGCCAACTGCACTATATATATATATATATATATATAAATAAAAAGTTTTCCCATCGCCTATATGCGAAAATAAATAGTGATTTCGCGTACCCTCATCACTGTCCAAAGTTCATCGTACGGTCACGATTGTCCATATGTGATACATTTTTTATTTTTTTCTACAAATTAGAATGACTGAAATTTGGAGTGTATGTACATCTTAGTGAGGCGCACCTAATAAAAATATAAAAGAAATAATATGTGAAAACAATATTGACCAAAATACCACCAAAATGTGTTAAGGGTATTTTATTCAATGTTTTTCATGTAAAATATTTTTTTGATATTTTTCATAGATTTGCCTATTTTTTATGAGCACACAATCCAACTTTCAAGTCATTCCGATTTGTAGAAAAAAAAAAAAATGAAACACTACCAGACAATCGTAACAGTGCGATGAACTTTGGACGATAATGAGGATAGGCGAAATCACTATTTATTTTCACCTATAGGCGTTTTGTAGTATCTTCTTATGGAAAAGTCTTCCCAATACCTATAGGCGAAAATGAACAATAATTTCACGTACCCCTCATCACCGTCCAAAGTTCATCGCATGGTCACGATTATCTAGCAGTGATTTATTTTTCGTTTTTTTTCTACAAATCGGAATGACTTGAAATTTGGAGCGTATGTCCATCTTAGTGAAACTCACCTAATAAAAATATAAAATAAATAATTCACGAAACAATATTGACCAAAATACCTCCAAAAATTTTGGGGGGTATTTTGGTCATTTTTTTATATAAAATACTTTTTTTGATATTTTTCGTAGATTCACCTATTTTTTATGAATACACACTCCAAATTTCAGGTCATTCTAATTTGTAGAAAAAAAATGAAAAATAAAACACTACCGGGCAATTAT